TGTTGTGTTGTTGGTGTTGGTGTTGGTGTTGGTTTGTTAATTCCCTTGTGTAGCGACTTGCAGCACTTCTTATTCTTGGAGCTACAGAACATCATTGGCGACTTCATTCTGCGCATCTTGTTGGTACTCGAGCACACTGCCAGGAGCGGGGGGCCTGGGGCCCAGGCCAGCTTTGCATGCGGGAGGACGGCTACCTGGTCTTCGGAGGCTTGGAAACGGCTGGCAGATGTTTAGATGGCTAAATTATCGAGCCGGTACAATCTGGCCGTGAAATCGGTGCGAGTGTCTTGGTGCAGGATCCTGTTCTTTTTGCTCGTCTGTGTTTTCTGTGTCAGGCAACGAGCCCGGCTCCAACCTCCCCCCTCCCCTCCCCAGCGCCCATAGAAAGCAGAAACGCTTCCACTCGCAGAGCTACCCCCCATCTTGGACTTCAGCTCTGTCGGCAGCGAAGGCGATGCAGTGGACAAGGGCCCAGGCGACATTCGGGTCGTGAAGACCCTCCTCTCCCTGAAGCAGCGCTACTGGTCAAGAGTCGCCTGGACAGCAAAAAGGCTTGCAACATGCGTGCGCGCGCACGTGTAGCGGCAGAAGGGTGCATGCAGTGGACCAGAGCACGCAAGTCTGCCTTTGGTAGAGTGCCAAGACACCGTGAAAAGGATGAGATGTTGAATCTTATGCTTGCCAATCAGGTTTTCATCGTTTTGGGAAACCGAGACATCTGCAGCTTGCCTTGCATCGTTTTTTGAGCGCTCAGTCGGGATGGGCAATACATGCTTTCCCTTTAAGAACACATGATGCGACATGAGACGACCATCCTGTCCCCATTTCGGCTCAACAGCATCACTTTGGAGGAATCATCCAAAAGCCGAGCTTCAAATAGAATGTCATGAAATCATGCCCACAAATCCAATTGTTGCACGGTGCGAGGTGGGGTGTGACGTTCAGGCTCCAGCGCCCCTGCAAGCTTTCAAATCATGGTCCTGGACATTTGTCCCGAGTTCTATGTCGGCGGCAAGGAGAACCTGCTGTGGCAACCCGAGGACGATGAACACCAACGGCGATGTTGGTTGGCCCCAAAGCCCGATGTGGCAGCTGCAGACCCGGTCGCAAAGAAGATGCCCAAGGCAGTGCCAGATGGATTGGCCACGACCGTCGCGCCAGCAGCCTTGAGCTCGCGTTATGTTCAGACATCCGCAGGACGCGAGCTCTCCAGGACCTATGCCACCGCTCACAGCATCGCAGGCTTCCGCCGAGTTCCAGCTTGCCCGGTAAGCCCCAAACCCTTGTCCGCTGAAATCCTCACTCTAGACTTTAGTACCTCAAACCAGTCCAAAGCCTTATCGAACCTAAAAGCTTGGGGTTGCGAGAGCGTCAAAGCTTGGAGCGTTTGGGTGCGAGTGTAGTGCCAAAAAAAGCTACAACTTGAGTCAGAAACTCCGAGATCAAGCTGAGATGGCATCCTCACGAATCTTTCAAAGACCGTCTGAAGACGTGTACTGTAGTCATCTTGTGCAATCCCCTCTACAGGCCGTCCTGACTACAGCAGAACGGCCCCAAAGTCAACAGTGACGGTGGCAAAGCTGGCCCCATCGCTCCTCGACCGGAATCGTTGCATGGCGTTCCCGCGCCCCGTCCAACATCCTGCGGTCATCATCAAGGAGGTCCACAACACGGCACCTCGAGTGACGTTGCGCATCGTCCAGCCCGCGGTCTATATGCCCTACATGCAAGCGCGAGCTCCACAGCCAGTGTACCTGATGTCTCGAGAGAAGTCCTTTCTAGGAGGATACCATCCCTCCCTGTATGCAAACAATCGCATCGTTCTTCCACCACGCGTTCTCGTGCGGGCCTAGTCGCATGCATAGCACTATTTCATGTCCCCATGGCCGAAATAGGCCTGCATGGATCTGAATGACAGGATATCACATGATCCACCAGTAGTGCCCTTGTAACCTTTGCTTGATGGGGTCTCAAAAAAACTGGATCGTGCTTGTAGGCAGAAACGGCACCTATACCTTTACGAGACAAGGGCTTACTGGCGAACTCTATCGCAACTGCCGCTTGCCTTTGACATTGCCCCAAACGCGGTGCTTATGAGCCCGCTGGAATTGCATGCGAAAAAAAGACTAGCTATTGCAAGCCCACATCTGGTACACGAGGGATATTCACGAGGGATATTCAGTTGCTCAGTGGGCACCTTATCACGTCCACCGTGCACTAGGCAAACTTCGCTTCTACGCCGAGCTGGCGTCCGGTGAGGACGGTGCGAGCTTCGAGGAGAAGGGTGGTGCACCTGGGCAGCAGTTTGAGTGTTGAGGGCCATGAGCAGAAGCAAGCATCAGCAATTTGGACCGTGGGGGATGGAGCCAGTGGGACGGACCTGGAAATTCGAGCGAAGCTTCACGGTAGCTTTATGCCCAGCAACATAGCTACTTGGCGCCAGACTCGCTTGGCCGGATTTTGCCTGTATAGGCTGCTGCAAACTCATTCACCGAACGTCCCTTCAAAGGTGCGGATCGCACACTCCCCTCCATGACAAACTGTAGCACGAGCAACTCAGACCTGCATGTTGCTAACCGCTAAGGCCTACTGGATTCCAAAGCCGGCGCCTTTCCCGGATTACGATGACTACCTGCGCGAGAAGCCTGCCTGATATGTGCCCGAAACTCTCAATCCTACCCTTGGATCTTCCAGGGATCTTCCAGACGGGGGAGCATGCAAGAGGACCGGATAGTCAGGAGGTGCGGGTTTCTCTGCAGACTGACCCTGGCTATCTATATTGCATCTGAGAGTGGAAAGCTCCGACACAACAGATGCTCGCACGTGCTGCGCGCATGGAGCTTGTTCTGATAATTAGAGCATGCTGGGTTTCAGAAGGGTGGCTCGCGTCGGATGCAGATGCTGGTGATGCTCGACTCGCCAGAGTCTAGATATCGACGCGAGGCTGAGTTGAGCTGGGAACGAAGATGGCCTGATACTCATTTCGGAGTGTTGCAATTACAAATTCGGATTGCGCCACAGACTTGCGTGCTGAGAGACGCCGTCAGTTCCAACCGCTTCGAGGACTGAATGCCTTAGTTTACCCACAGTAAGAAGAACCGTCAGTGTTCATGAATGCCGCCACGCAACCATGTGAGCAGCTCTCGTGACTCTCGTGTTTTCCCGCATCAGCACCAGCCCAGGAATAACTTGCAGCGGGGTCATGTTAGCACAGTTCGCTGGGTGCTGGACTGCAACATGGGATGTCCGGCCCTCAGCTGAAGTACATAGTCATGGCTAGACCTGAAGCATCTAAAGTCTACAACGTGCCAGGGGACGTGTTTGCACTCCAGAGGATCTGTCGGGATCTGTCGGTTCGACCTGTCTGGTGAATACATCTTTGGTCAGTCGGAAACGGCCGTCGAAACAAACCAATGGACGGCCAGCCCAGATGAATTCAAGTCAGCAAGACCCTTTGCCTGCAGGTCAGACAACGACATTCAAGACCAGAAGGCGAGGTCGAAGTACGGGGCGGTTGGTCGCAGATGTCGGACAGGTGCAGAAGATCTTGTGAACAAACGATGCCATGGAGACCTGTGTGCAATGTTGTGCATTTTCTTGAGCTTTGTTCTTGTGTATGTTCATGCGACTACGGCATCGATGATCTATCAGGAAGTAAACCTCAAGCGACACACGAAAAGAGTGAATTAACAATAACCTGTGTTTCGCAACTGTTGATGCGCCTAAAAACGAGAAGGCGAGCATGCACCACCTATTGCCATGTGGGTGCATTGATTTGCGGTCCCCCATCGCCAACGGCCACACACAAAACCCTACCAACCATCTCGGACCCCAAACCCAATGTCAACTCTCAGTGACGATCCCTGTTTCGCCGGAGGCACGAGCTCGCACTTCTTGGCAGATCTGCCACCGATGAAGCTGCCGCACAGCTGCATATAGCTGCACCTGACTTGCCTGTCATAGACACTAGCGCTGGTTTTGTTGTCTCAGGACATGCCCATCCTAGCTCGCGTAAGGGAATGTAAGGGATAGTGCATTGGCTGGCATTCCAAATGGCCTCTCTTTGCTTGGCATGCATGCTACAACCCACGCCTACTCTTGTTTGGTACCAGCGCGGCAGACGTACCCCATCTGATCGCTTTGGAAGGTGAAACCCCTGAGTCTGTTACACAGGCAATTCCGCTGCGAAAGCTGTACTTTCCTAAACCTGACAGTCATGTGCCGTGATTCAGGTTCAGGGTTTCAGGTGTGATGGAGGTCTTGAGCCAGGCAAATCAGGCGTTGCAGTCGGGCCACGAGCTCCTGTGTCCGCAACGGGGTCCGCTTCGGTTTGGTCATCTGCTGACGGTAGTTTGTCAGCTCAGGTGGTTCAGAGCTATCGACGCGCGGCAGAACAAGCTCTCATGCGGAGGTAGCCGGAGGTAGCTATGTGGTCAACGACAAGAGACAGCGACGCACCGTGCCTACCGAGGTGGTATCACAGCTGTTGCAAGTATCGTCCAGCATATGTTATAAAGGCCAGTCCACATCAATACCTCTTGCGAATGGAGTCGTCATTTTGTCACCGTCTTGGTTTTTGTTGTGAGCAGGCCGAAATATACTGCTCTGTAGACACAATATGGCGGAAGCGTTTGCGTAGAAAGGCACAACGGCAATTGTCGGTGGGAGCACGCAGCAGTATAGTTCTAGCAGCTTTTCTTGCAATGTGGGCTCTGAGCAACCTCGAAACGAATTCGACTTGAATCAATGCGATCTACTGGCAACACGCAGCAAATCGGCTGCTGTGAAGATGCAGCTCCCAATCTTCACCGAGGCCACCATGTCAAAGAGTGATTGCTAGTTGAGAAGACCCTCGCTTGAACCTGCTTGAGCGAGTATGCATGTCGAAAGAATGATTGGCCTAGGAGATGCGGTGGACCCTGGCGGTGCGGATCCCTGGATGCTGGACCTCCTGCGGGTGGGGTTTCTCGGAGAAAAGGAAGATAAAGAAAGGGATGCCACCCAGTCGTACGTTTAGGTCCAGCTCTGTGCCGCTGCCGTCTTCGTGCACTGGAGACCGTAGGCCGTTCCGCGTCTGCCTGTCGAGCCGTGGAAGAGTTGGCGTAAACTCTGGAGATTTCGTTGGCGAATCTGCAAAAAAGGAATGCAATGGGTTTTCATAAATCAGTTCTGAGGCAGCTCGCCGTGATTGTCGGCGATGCCTTATTCATCCATGGAGGACTGTACGACGATGCACTAGGTGCTCCGGACTTCTTTCGCCCGATCACAGTATTTCGCATGGCCAAGCATGACTTGACATGGTTTAGAGGCCGACCAATATTTGCAGCCGCTCAAAGATGTTCAGAACACAGTATATTATATAGTATAGAGGCTAAGCGGTCAAGCCGCTGCGTGTCGAATGTGGAGTTTGCGGATGCTGTTTGTGTTGGAATGTGCTAATAGGAATCGCGGGAGCACCCAAGCAGGCAAGTGCGCACATGCATCTTGTGAGCTTCCTTCGGGTCTAGGTGGATTTCACCTGAGCGCAGTGTCTCGGCGCTGCCTCAATCCACTACATCACTAAAGTACAAATCGTGCCGTATCCTCTTTCCGACCCCCCTGTCGGCTTCACGTCGGATTCCCCGGACCGTGTGCTCGTTACCCTTCCAAGTGCAGAACTTCTAGTTGACTCTGACGGCATGTCCCCGCCCCACAGGATTGGGGAAGGGTTTGGCTGCCGTTTGCCCGAGGTGCTGTTCCTGGCGAGGAGGTGCCAAGAGAGACTTGACTGAAGTCTTCAGATCTAAGGTGTCCATCCCCTGGGCAATGCAGCATGCATGATCAGGGCCATTACCACCGTGAGCCCCCTTGGTACTAGCAATCTGATTTGTGTGTGGATAGCGAAGATCCGGAAGCTGCCATTTACAGTTATCCCCGAAAAGAACGAATTAGCAATCTGTCTGTTTAAATTCTAAAACTTGTGACGGCCAAGTTTTGGTAGGGTGAGTTCAGTCACTTTGTTTTGTCCTGAGACATGGATCAGCACAGACGGAGCCACAGGAACCGCGGAAACAAGACGAGTTGGGTGCTGTAGACATGTAGGACGAGTGTAGGGGCGCCAAGCTGGAGGACAGCATGCACTCCTGGGCTGCAGCGCTGAACGCATGGAAGGACGTGGCCTTTGCAAGGGTCCATTTTGTGCCAGCGGCTGCACGATTTTTTCTTCGCGAAGCTGATTCAAGGCATCATGCTACCTACCCCGTCGTGCTCGTGCTTGTTGATTACATTGTTGCATCAAGAACGCAGGTCCAAAGTCACGAGCTCTACAGCTTGGACCCAAAAACTTTCAGGAACAGACTCCTAGATTTTTACAGCCGAGCACTGCGGCAGACGACTCGGATGAGAGCCCGTCGCCCTTTTGGCCTAAGCAGCCTGGCTCTCCCCGCCAGAAGTAGCGCGATTTCCCTGCAACTGCCAGTGATCGGATAAGTCCACCCATGGCGATGAAGGTGTCTCAGATTCTTCCTCACGTGTGGGTGATGGATGAGGCGGTTCCCCAGTCGTTGCTAGATCATGTGGACCAGGCTTTTGCCACAGATAGCCGGAGCACTACCACGAAGGAGGAGTATCATGGTAGGCCCCTCACGTCGCGCAGTATCGAGTTCGAAATGGATGAAACTGCAAGACCTTTCTTCGAGATGATCGCACACTGCTGGGGTTTAAGCTTTGAGGAGCCCTTCAACAAGTTCATGGTCTCGGACATTTGTGGTGCTGGACAGTCTGCTCATGTGGACCACATAAACCTTGATGACCTCGATGGCCGCAACTGGAAGTTCCTGGATTTGGGCCTCCAAAGCTCCGAGCCCCGGAACCCCCGGAAGGTGGTGCCTACCGTGACCGTCGTGGTCTACTTCAACTCTGTGGGAGGTTTTTGAGGTGGTCCCCGCGAGTTTCTTGAGCCATGTATGGAAGTGCAGCCATGAGAGCTGAACCTCCGTATGCTCAGAC